ACGTGTCGGTTCAAACGGCCCGCGAATGCCAAGCAAAGAATAAACAAATATGAACAAACAACTTTCAATAGTAAAGCATACACTATAGGGTAAGGTCAGCAAATAATGTTTAAGGAGAAGAAAAATAAGAACTATACATTAATAGAATGATAATAGAACAAGTAATTTAACTGCAGTTGTAAGCAAATGTCATTGTTATAAATTAACATATAAAAATCATACTACTTACTAATGACAAGTAGTATAATGTTGAACAAAGGAAAGATCGAGAATGAACAGGTAGGAAAGGAATTAACACCGCCCCCTCAAAACCAGCCTGGTTTTCCCTACTCTACCTGCTAGTAAGACACAGAAATGGTACAATTTACTCTCGCCACATCTGCATCCACTATTCAGCTATATATCCTACAAAGTGCTTATCTCTCCTCAATACCTTCTAATAGGCAAACCTTACGCACATCTCGGTTAACTATACCCTTCGGTGTCTTGATATCCACTTTTCTGACATGCCCATCACAGCTTGCCGTATTACCTGTAATTATTCCCATTGACCAACGATTGCGAGGTGAAGGCTCCGCAGTCACTAGTACTAGGTCTCCCACTTGTAAGTTTCGATGTCGTTGAACCCGCTTTGCACGCGATCGTAAGGTCGTCAAGTACTCCCGCTTCCACCGTCTCCAAAACTTATCGGCAAGGAGTTGCCCTTGTTTCCATCGTCGTGAATAACGTCCACATAAACTAACGTCGATTTCAGGAACCTGTTCAGGATTTCTTGATAAGAGAATATGATTTGGTGTCAGCACATCCAACTGACTTGAGTCATCATAAACAGGTACTAGCGGCCTACTATTTAGTATCCTTTCTGCTTCTGTCAAATAGGTCATGAGTGATTCATCTGTGAGGACTTGCTCCTTCGAAACTGGGCTTAACACTCGACGTACGCTTCCGATCAACCTCTCCCATACTCCGCCACGGTGGCTAGCATAAGGTGGATTTAAAGCTGTACACGGTTGAGCACCAATCAAACAACTGAGTGATGACTCCATGCGGCGCCGAAGAGAAGTTAAGTCCACTGGTTCATAAACAACCGTACTATATCCTGGAGCGATAACTTCAGTTACAGGATGCATGAACACATAAGCATGACGACGACTGCATACTATGGAGAGTGCTGATAATAGAGATCGGCGCCACCGACGAACAATAGTATGGGTCGATTGGATTGTATCTGTACATTCTTCGTTAGCCAAATTAGTTGATACTGCTGGACTGAGAGCTGAAGTGAATTCTGGTTCTTGATTTTCATACGCGATTGGAGCAGCAGTAGTAGAAGCACTTGGAGGTAGGTCTTTCCGTTTTGTTGAACGCTTTCGGTTACGATTGGCCTTTTTCGAATATGGGGACTGTACTTCGATGTTGCTTAATGAAGGGCTTGAATTAAGACTTTGAATAAAATGTGGAGAAACCAGTGTCTCGGAATCACTTACTATTGTCGGACTATTAGGTGTGATTGGTTCAGCGTGGACTTTTAAACACTTGGAGGGACCTCCTTGTAATTCAGTTTCACTAGAACCACGGTCGAAATGTGTAAGAGGTTCACACGGTCGTGGTGGATCTTCGGTTCTGACTTCTTGACTATGAATACTTGCAACTTCTGAATGAGTTTGAACCGATGATGTTGTATCCAGACTTGATATCTTCTCATTCCGTCCTTCAAAACCAAGTCGCTGGGAAATGACACTTTGTTCTCGCATAAATTTCGCAATGCGATCATGGTGGTCATCTAATGGGTTTTCCTCAAACAATTGGGAAATACACGTCGACTTTACAGGAAGCCAAATACCACCATCTTTGTCCACCACTTCTTTTGCAATTTCTGTTTTTGGACGTTTAGGTGACGTAGGGAACACCTCGGATACCTTATTGTCCTTCTCAGGAGCAGCAGAAAGAGGCCCCAGATTTACGCATTGACCTATTTTATCAGGTATTCGCAAAGGCTTGTTCTCTACTGATTCACTTTCCTCTAAGCAGAAGATGGAGGTTGCTTCTTTATATTTATTTCCTGAACCCAATAAATACCAACCAAAAACTGACAAAGATGCAAACGGTTGGTTGGATTTCCCTATACGCTGCTCCAGCACCCAGTGTGCTTCAGGTACATTAGTCCCAATTAGTAGACTGACCTGTTTACATTCGACGTCTAGAAAGGGAATTTCTGCCAGGTGAGGCCATTTTTTCATCTGTTCGTTTGAAGGAGTCTTAGGTCTCTTTACAGGTAAGCTTTCCACGGTGTAGGCACTCGTGACCCTTGTCTTGTAATCTCCCGTTAAGGATTCAACTTCGAAATCAACCTTGGATGAATTCTGAGAAGTAGTTCCACAGAAAGATGTTACCTGCATCAATGTACTAACCCCTTCTAGTCCTATTTGGTGGGCAACATGACTCAGCAGTAGTGTAGCATCTGAACCATTGTCGAGAAAGGCATAGGTATCTAGAAATCCTTTAGGTCCTAAGATACGAATCGGCACATATCCTAAAAAGGAAGTTCCGGGTTCCGTGCTAGAGTAGTTGACAGTCAGGCATGCTGAATTATCTTCATTGTGTAGAAGTTTATGATGATGTCTAGTGCATCCCACTATATCGCAACCTCTTGCTGCACGACAAGTGTCAGCTCGGTGATTAAGTTTCAAACAGTTGAAGCACACCTTATGCCGCATTGACACTGCTAGTCTCTCTTTGTGACTCATAGACGAAAAGCGTTGACATTCCCATAAGTCGTGATCTGTGAAGCAAACTATGCACGACTTCTGGGCTCGTGACTTCACGACATTAACGCTATGCGAAGGCATAGCTCTGGACATTTTTTCATTGGACCCTACTTCGTTGTTGTTCCTATTCGCATTAGCTATCTGGCCGTAACAGCTTGTAGCCAATGACAGTTGCCCTTCGAGGAATTCTTTGAGGTAACGAAAGCTAGGTTCAGCAAACTGTAAACCATCGTTTACCAATTCTGCCCACTTCCATCGTAGGTGCCGGGGGAGACGCTGAACAATGCACTTAAGGTTGGTAGAGCAGTCCAAGTCTGCCATGTAATTCATCTGAGATAAGGCTATCTCACAATTGGTCATCTGTCTCAACAACCGTTGTAGCCCAGCTATATCTTCAGGTTGCAGCTGTGGGCCTGACAGTAATTCGGAGAGGAAGGCATCCGAAACTGCATGAGGTTGGCCAAATTGACTTCGTAAAATCCCCATTGCTTTCCTATAGCCTACCTCAGAGGGCAGTAGAATGCAATGCTCTATGGCCTCCTTGGCTGTACCAACACAATTGTGTATGAGATGCATTAACCGTAGGTTGTCATCATTAGTTTGTTCTCCTATGAACATGTTAAAGCATCTTATAAACTTCAGGAACTTAGTTGGTGTACCATCGAACTTATCCATCTCAATTTGAGGCATTCTAATGGGGCTAACTGAGTTCAGGAGTGGTTGCACTGGTGTGGCAGTACGATTTGACTCTGCGGGTGGTCCTGGGCAATAGTTGGTGCTACCGTCTAGGAATTGGCTTGTCGAAGGATTGGCGCAAGATCGAACGCAGCTGGCTGTGGTCATAACTTGTTGAGAGCACTCGCTCTCCAATTTTCGTCGTTTGCTGCGAAGTCTAAGCTCTTGAACCTTAAGCTCTAGAATCTCTAATTCGGTAGCAACATTCGAATCAACATCAGAGTCTACTACTACACTACCTCCCCTAGCAATATTATCAAAACCTAGGCTGACATGAGGGGTGTGTTTAAAATTATCAAAATCAGATAAGGAAACAGGTAAAGAAGAAACTTGCGGTGAAGATAAATTGACTCGAAGATATTCTTCAGCGTTTTCCAGTTTTCCAGACATATTACGAGTAACCGGCATTGATAATTATCCAAATAGATCAACAAGACCAATTTTGAGTACTGTGAATTTCTCCCGAAAGAAATCCGAAACGATAATCCAAACTATAGATTTAACCACACGTAGAGTGACGCGTAAAGTCCGAAATACAGGATATTCTCAAAATGTGAGGTATCTGTGGCTAAATGCCGTCAAATGCACAACCACTGTGCAGTCAATAAGTAAAAACAGCAATGCTGTGTCAAGGTCGATCCACGTGTCGGTTCAAACGGCCCGCGAATGCCAAGCAAAGAATAAACAAATATGAACAAACAACTTTCAATAGTAAAGCATACACTATAGGGTAAGGTCAGCAAATAATGTTTAAGGAGAAGAAAAATAAGAACTATACATTAATAGAATGATAATAGAACAAGTAATTTAACTGCAGTTGTAAGCAAATGTCATTGTTATAAATTAACATATAAAAATCATACTACTTACTAATGACAAGTAGTATAATGTTGAACAAAGGAAAGATCGAGAATGAACAGGTAGGAAAGGAATTAACACATACTGTATAACAAACAGTACGTAGTTACTATAATCCAATAACTGTATGCCCTATAAAGCGCAGATGGATCGTATACACGTTGAGGAAACGGTTGACTGATATCATTCACCAAGTAGGCCCTCGAGTGGGAGACAATGAGTTGAGTGTCCGAGTGTGTGACACGGAGGAGAACATGTGAAGAAGAGATGAAAGCTTGTGGACAATCGTCGAGCCATCTGAACAGGACTTCAGAGAACAGCGTGAAATGGACACCTGTTGTCAAAGCCCTATACTCCATACGTAACCTATGGGAATAACAAAAATAAGAATATACCCCACAATCTGTACATTGTACTTATTTCTATAGTAGGCCTAAAGAACTCCATATCATTTTTTACTAATAGAGATATGCCTCAGTGACTTAAATGACGTTCAACTCTCGACCAACAGGTTCCAAGTTCGCATTCCGTCATACCTACTTCAGATTAGGTCGTCTCACACGATAAGGATGGCTCATAATATCCCAGCATACAATAAATCTGTTCCACGTAATTAAATTCCAGAAATAAAAAAGGCAGTCAACAGATAAAGAGTTTGTATTTTAAAAAAAAGAAATGATCTATTCTCAAAAATAGCTTTTGTAAAAAAAAAATTAAGTCTTTAAAATCGCAGATTGCGTAACAACACACTGATTCAGTCTATGATGAATTTCTTTGATAAGACATTGTACATCATGTTGAAATACATGCAGGCCACGACTAGTTAGAACAGCAAATGACAACAGACCTTCACCAATTAAATCCAATGGAGGTGATATAGAAAATACTGGACCAGGTAGTGAACGTTGAGATTTAAATCTGTAAGATAATTATTACAAAATAAAATATACACAGATCTCATTACGTCATAATCTAGTGCTAGGCAATATAAAACAGTTCAAAAAACATTAAACATCAAGCATTATTACGTCATTATGCCGTTGAACTCTCTCAGATAAGTGGAACAAAACTATGCATTCCAAATATTTCGGATACACTGATAAGTTAATGAAAACAAAACACGTATTGTAGTTCAGCGAAGAGTTTCTTTTCGGACGCGAATTCATCTTCTCAGCAGTACAATCGCAAATATATATGTCCGAGTATTGGTTTTGTAGGGATTTTGTTTGATTGCATGGAGGATTTCATCATGAGCTGACATCAGTTAGAGAACCACTGGAAAACCTGGGAGTACTGGACAGCTGTTTCGTCCTAGTTTGCGACTCTTCCGCAGTACGCATCCACCGGGATTCGAACCCAAGGTCTTCCGGTTACAAGACAACCATTGGATCGGGTCCCAGTGGCTCAATGGCCTACGAGCTCGCCTTGTAACCAGAAGGCCCTGGGTTCGAATCCCGGTGGGTGCGTACTGCTGAAGAGTCCCAAATATGTATGTGTTATTTTGTATGTATGTGTACATTAGGTCTGTCAAACAAAAATGCAATTGGTTATGGTTATTTTAACTAAACAGGTGAAGAAGATTGGTAATTGGAGCTACGTAATACAAAATCAGTCAAGAAAATTAGGTGTTAATGAAATTAGGGTAGTAACAAAGGTGATGAGTTGTCACAAACAATTGTTAAAAAGAAGTTATGTAATAATATGAATAGTTTTATGATTGAGTTTTACTCAGGATATACACAGGAACAAAGTAGAGAATAGGAAATTACGTAAGAGTTCTAAATGAATATAAGAATTACAAGCAGTTAAAGAAACAGGCAAACAAACAAAGTTAAGTCATCAAAAATCAACAAGGTTGTTAACATGACAGTAGAAGTGAACATGAAACCCTACAAAGAAATGCACTAATTGAAACTACCTATCTTACTTCAGAAAGCCACAAATAGAAAACAGAACAAAATACATCTATAAATAATCTGGCAATATGGAAGGTAAATAGACTCCCGGCTTCTCTTCAAACGCTCTCGTGTGACCACTTGTTCATGACGTGTATTCATCTAGAGAAGTTTTAAGACCTTGATTTCAAATCTATGATGCACATTGGCTCCAGGATCTGAAAGCAACTAATGTCGCATGAACCTTTTTCAGCCAAGGGCAACTACGAGAAAACAGCTTCTATCTTGTGGAGTAGACTCCAAATCAAAGACCTGGAGAGTGATCCGTCTGCGAACAACTGTTTCAACCCTGACATGACATATGTATCGACAGTCAAGTGGAAAACTCAACTCATCACCATACTGTCACAACGTATCGCACCTGCTGATTGATGAATTATATATTACGTCATCATTATATTGTTATTCTCATCATAAGCGGAGTATCTTGTTGTGTCACCTTTCCGGTTGCTAATATCTTGATTTTCGACTGATATTTGATATTGTTAGAAAAATTTCAAAGTATCTGCATTGTTTTGAATCACTGATTAGATAAGCTTTCAGAAACTCCACCCCAAGAAAATTAAATAACACTACTACAATAAAGCCGTGGGTCGGTGGCATAGTGGTTAGGATGCTCACCGACCATGCACATGGTCCGGGGTTCGATCCCCGGCCACAGACGCACTCCTTAACCTCGCTAAGCCAGAAATAATGCTGGTGAAGAGGAAAGGTTGGGCATGAGGCTAGCAACCCCATCCTGTAAAATAAACACTGCTACAGAAACTTCAAGCCAACTAGCTTGAAGCCCTATGTTCCACTGGTGTACGTGATGGGAAAAAAAATAATAAAGCCACGTGCTGTATTCAAGCTTGCCTTTTACAACAATTCCCTTACACTTAACTGTTTACTAAACCTTCAACTGGTTAGAAAAGACGCTCAGATGATGTCAGCCCATGATGTAGTTCTGTAAGCTGGAAAGTTTTGTTGGTTTAAAAATTCAATTTTCTCTAGATGGGGACCAAGAGAACAAGCGCCTAAGTGGATGAAGGTTATCAAATATGGCTTAAAAATTAAAACCTATTGTCTTCTTCCTCTGTGAAATTGACAAACAACCCTTTAAGTTTTAATAGTGTGAAATATATTCCCATATCATGAATTAAAAGTCAATCTTAACGAAGAATATTATTCTCAACAATTTCTTTTCTTCAGGTTCTGACAATTATAAAATATAATATTTGTTGTTTTGACAATAATGGCCAGTTATGCGGCGGATAAATTTTTAACGTAGAATAACAGATTAGTTATGGGGTGTCAAAATAAATAGTTATATTTGTGTGACAAACGTGCTCTGGGCTGAAATCGATTAATGGGAGACAATGGTGGTGATTAGTCATAATAGATTTGTAGAATGTGGGGTAGGAAAATTGACAAGTCAGATCAAGGTTATCAAAGGTGTCAGGTGAGTGGCTAGTACAGAGTGGTATGTTTTAAAGAGAAGATAGTAAGACTGGAATAACGAACGTGTGAAGCTCTCATTGCAGTCTTTTACTATCTCCTCTTTATCGATTTCAGCCCAGAGCACGTTTGTCACACAAATACAACTATTTATTTTGACACCCCATAACTAATCTGTTATTCTACGTAAAAAAATTTATCCACCGCATAACTGGCCATTATTGTAACGCCAACATATATTATACTTTATAATTGTAAGAACCTGAAGAGGAAAATTTGTTGAAAAGAATATTCTTCGTTCAGATTGACTTTTGCTTCCTTCAATTATTCTCGACAGATTTATGCTTACTTGTTTTTCGGCTGTTGTTCCTTAACTGCTTTATTTCCTTCTTTCCTTACACCGTTTTACTTTATATTTCTGACACCGTACTGCATCAAGCTTGTATTTCAAATAAATCATTGGGTTGAAGAACCCAGTTGACTGTGGGTCGGTCGGTGGTTCAACGGTACAATGCTTCACCAACCAATCACATGGTTTGGATTCGATTCCCAGCCGACGCACTCATCAACCTCACTTGGCCAGTAGTAAGCCCAGTCTATCTGTCTGTTTTCGACATAGAACTTTGCACCGATGTGCAGCAGTTCAAGTCGCCACACTCCCTCCATGTAGCACACAATGCAAGAGAATAAAGTAGAAGAAATGCAAAATAGAGACAGTAAAAAGAGGTGTGAGACAAAGGAATAGTAATAATGAAGAACAATATAGCTTCATTGGAAATTAGAGGTCAAAAGGAGGGGATGCATCTGCGCCAGCCATTGAGAACGATTTTGAGTCATATCACCAATTGTTTCCGATCATTGGTTTTTACCGTCCCGAGGACCCCAACCAGGAAGTATACACCTTCCTACGTGACTGGCTGGCTTAGACTAACTGTTGTGGATTTCAATGACTGGTGTAGCCATATTTTTGTTTGACCGCCGTTAGCTCTTTTCCAGCCTGACCCTATATCAGTTAACAATGCCCGGCGTTCGAGGAAGGCGATGACTAGGCATACGTAACACATGTCCTAATAATCTTAATCGGTGTAACTTCACAGTCTCGTCAATTGATTTCCCCTCCTTACCTAGAACTCGACGCCTAACCACAATATTGTTCACCTTATTGTACTACTTCACACGGGAGATAGAACGCGGGCACCTATAATCGAAGACAGATAATTTTTTCATGTCTTCCACTGTCAATGGCCAGGTCTCACAGCCATAAAGGAGGACTGAGAGGACTGCTGAACAGTACACCCGCCCTTTGGTCGATAGCCGGATATCACGTGAAGAGGGATATAGTTGGGTGTGAGACTACCGCCACCACCGTCAACGCCACAGAAACTTCATAGCTCAAGCTTGAAGCTCCAAGTACCAGTCGGAACGAATGAATGAATAAAAAAGACTGTGGTTCCATTAGTATAACTAGCCTTCAGACCAAAAAACAAGTTTCAATGCATACCACGAAATCCTATTTTAATCATTTCTAACACTTGGTTCACGAAGCATAATATGCAAGGCAGAAAGCGATACAAGGGGGAGAAAATCAACTATGCTTACGTATAGCGTCCATTTTTCAATTCAGTATCACTGTATTCCCATTCATAATACAATAATCGTTGTCCAAATGTTCCAAGTATAATTTCAGGTTTGCCATCTAAATTAAAGTCCCCAACTGATGCACAATTGACATGATCAAAATCTGCACTACATGGTAGAATATATTGATTTTGTGATCCGAAGCCGTTATGTTTGAAGATATCCCTGAAAAATTGAAAAGTTTTAAAGCACAGAATTCATATAAAGGCAAGCATTATAGGGAATTATTTCACCATAAGAGAATACTTACCATGTATGGTAAGACAGTGTAATATTAATGGGTCAAGTTAAACTTTAAGCACCACTAACTAACTACCAATGGAGTGCGACTGCACCAACGCTCATTGAGCAAGTGTAAGTGAAATTTGGCAAATAATGTTGTCATCATCAATAAAATATGCTCATCAAAGTGTTATGCTATTAAATGGGATATTTGGCAAGTTTCAGCTTAGATATGGGAAAGATTAAGTTACTCTTTAAGGCAAGGACAAGTTAAGGTTAGGTGAACCTGATTAAGGTGACATTCGGGTTGGTTCGAATTAGATTACAGCTAGTTTAGGGATATTTTCACGTTAGGTTCCGGAAAGATTAGGGTTATTGTTAAGGTAAGATTAGAAGACCTGAATTATTACATGCATAGAATGTGGTTAAATTACTCTGTTGATATAAGAATTGAACTTGTGCACTGTGGTGGTAGAGTATAATTCTGTTGTCGGTAACATTTCTTTTGATAAAGTCTCACAGTGTAATACAGTAACATTTACTGATGACCACGTTTCGAGCACAATTTATTACTTGGGAAATATTACTGTATAACACTATGAGACTTTATCAAAAGAAATTTTACCCACAATGGAATTACACTCTGTGGATACTCCAACCTAAAATTGAGAGTTATTTCTATCACATGTGAGAGCAGTACCCTCTGTAACACTTTTCTACAGCTTTAATGCATTTTTCTCTTAAATATATGTATTCTATACACAAAAAGCCTCCTTCACATGACTGGTGCGTTTGACGTCATGCGCTGATTGGTAGTTAGTGGTGCTTAAAGTTCAACTTTGCCTATTTATGTCCGATAGTCTTGTGGTGTGTATACTACTGACAAGATTCTCTTTAAGTAGTATATTGGTCACATCTCTCGCAAAGATGTTGAGTAGTGAAGTGAAGGAATTAAGTCGCAATGAGGCGCGGAATGAAGATAATTTAGAAACAAGAGAGAGAGAGAGTAAGCACTGAGTGATGACAAAGAAAAACAGACTACGAACAACTTTTGCGAATTGAAGAATAAACCATTCTCCTATCCAATGCTACAGTGGTCTGTTGTGGTATGTGCTACTGATAAGATTCATCAGTAGTATGTATATATGTAAAGAGAGAGATGTTCATCGGGATAAAAATATCAAATAACAAGGAGATAGATTTGATGTCAGAGGAAGCAAATGATACAGCGTTGTGGAGAAAAATCGGAGACGTGAAAGGAACACAAAGAAATACACACGATATGAAGGGAGGCCAGAAGTAGTACAACGCGGAAGATCTGTGCAAATGGTGATTTGGAGATAAGGTGTTCATAATTTGACTATGTAATGATACCAAATTCCAAATAAACATTCCTTTATCAAGTCTCTCGTTTTCCGCCGTTACACTATGTATACGTACGATACAAATTACTATTTCTGTATATTTTCCGCATCATTTAGGTTTTCTTTTTGGGTTAGCGGTGAACATTTTGTCAAGATTGACAATCAAGGCTTCTCAGTTAAACTATTCAGTTCAAAACAAAAACATCCAACTGAGAAACAAATCCTCTCCATTATTATTCCAGAACATCAAAATAACCTGGATAAGTTTCAAGTACATCAGCTTATAGGCATTTCACATGGTGTAAGCAAAAAATAGGAAAAGCAGATAGAAAGGAGGTTCTAGGTTGATATGTACTACTTTACTCACGTGTTTGAGTGAAGTCTCACAAGACCATTGGGCTTTAATGTCAGCTAAACAGTTGAAGAAGATTAGAAAAAAGACTTTGAGCTTGGGTTAGTGAACTATACCAACGCCTTCGTTAAGTGTGTGCTAATCAGCGCTTCAGCTATAAGCCTCAGTAATGAAATATACAGAGTGTGATTCACCGCCCCCAAAACTTGAATTCTATACACAGATTGACTGTGAGAGTGCAATCAATCCTTCACCAAAGTAGAGATTGGTCGCAAACCCTCTGTTTACAGTACTTCGACAAAAGCGATTTCTAAAATTAAAACAGGATCTATTAACAATGTCCTTTACTTCGAACGGCAGTACCGAAAGTACTCCGCTCCGCAAGGGTGGAGTCCCGATATATTGCTATCATCTTTGTGTATGTAAACCTTGCCAGTTTGGTGGAACTAAGCGGACGACAGCTTTTGTTTATACAATCCTTACGGAATTATATGCAGCAAAAGCCTGAGATCTATCATCAGCAGCTCCTAGACTTTACAGTAATCCTCTCAAAGATACCTCGAGGAGGCGAAATTCAACCTTACTACAAACACGGAATGCAAGACTCTACCAGGAGAGATTTATTCGAGAACTTTTGGTGCCGGTCGAACACTGGCACTGAACACTTTAACAAACATCTAACAACTCCCAGTGCTCAAAAGACTTAATACCTTCAAGAAAGTCTTAGTTACTTTGTTCAGATTTATCGCAAAATATTTAGAGGGGTAGTGAACTGCGACTCCTGAAAACTAGTCACATGCTTTAATAACATACGACTCAAAAAACCAAATATCTATGATAGATGAGATAAAGAATAAAAAGAGTAGGCGGTAGCTGCAAACTCAAAATATTTTTCATCTCTTTTGAACACACCCCCACCCTCACATTCAGTTGATTACTTTTAACAATAAGTTTAAATTTATAAATAGCCAGACTACAGGTGTTGCGAATTTCCCCAGAATAATACAAAAAGGGAGCCAGATTAAATCCTTATAAAATTATTTAAAATCATCCTAGCGTATTAAGAAAATTAAAACAAGATTCTCCTGAATGTTTTGCTGTGCAAACGAACTTCACACGTGTTCACTAAATTTAACTGAATTTTAGATTTTCTCGTCGATTGATTGGACCGAAGTGCTCGGTCTCAGGTTGACATGTCGGCTTCTTGTGCAGATACTTCGACAATGTCTGGGCACGTAATTAGAATTTAATTGGTGGATGGTGACTAGCAGTGGAATCCAGGATGCGCATTTCGTCCTATTTGGGACTCGTCAGATGAATGTACCTGCATTTCCCAGTGAGTTATGATGTTTCAACCGAGGATCGAACCCAGTGCCCAGCGTTTGAAACTATGGGCAATGGGTTAATATGTGACCCATTGCACAAGAGGTGGCTGTCGTAGCCCAAGTGGTGTAGTCGATATCGATTTGGTGTTTGAAGCTATGGGCACTGGGTCCCAGCCTCTATAGGAACATCATCACTCACTCACTAGGGAATACAGGTTCATCCAGCTGCTGACGAGTCCCAAATAGGACGAAATACGCATCCTGGATTCCACTGCTAGTCACCGTCTACAAACTGAGTTCACAAAATGTTCTATTCAACTATAAATAGAGAGATGTCTAATAAAATCTGAGTAATTCTCTTGAAAAAGCTGTGGCTTACACAGCAGAACATCCAAAATGATCTTGAGTGATCATAGGAGCTTGGTAACTCGACAAAGATTGAACGCTGAGACGTTGAAAAGACTTTTTATGCAGCTAGGATCAGAATAATTGAGAATATCAAAGCGATATATCCATCTTAAGCCCTTAGAACATGCGAAAAATGGTGTCACATCTCACTGTATTTACCAATTCAAATGTACGTGTGGACACATACATAGGGACGACTCATCGATCTCTTCAAGAAAAGGCTTCAATAGCAAATAGAATTCCGAGAACCCATTAATGGGAAAAACAGGAGACCTACATCCTCTATTGCGTAACATATTATAGCGACAGGACAAAAAATTGATGTTTACACATCTTTTAAAACTACCTATAAAACGTGTTTGGGGCGTATACTATAGTTTGTGAAAGCCCTAGCTAGCGATTAGGAAGTTTAAACCACTCTAATGCGGACAACGCAACAATTTGTCATCACACTAAACCACTTTCCTTGGTAAACTTTGTTTTGATATCAGCCAGCCTAGATATACTATTACCTCTCTTCTTTGGTTTAGTGATCTTCATCGTAATTTTCACCTTCAATGTGTCCTTTTAACTTAACCTAAATTTATTTTCTCACTTCTTAACTCTTTATTAATTTCATATATATTCCTATGACAAGTCCGTGTGTGATGGATCAGATTGTTCGAAATGTGTTGCGCACAAATACACATTACACGATTCAGACAAATTACGTCTTATCGCTTCGCCTAAATGAATTAAGAGTAAGATAAATCAACTGAAAGATCCCATAAAAATAATGGACAAAAACAATGTGATTTACAAACAGATATCTTGTGCCGAGTGTCCGACTAAATATATGGATCAAACGTCCAGATCACTGAAAAAAAATAAGAGTGAATGAACATAAACGCCTGCCTAACTAAAGGTCAACCAACAGGAACACAAGATTATAAGAATTTAGAAAAAAATTCATCTATATATCTGCACATACAGCATGGGACAAAAACCACAATATCGATTGGAACAATGTTTGTATTCTAAATATGAACTAATATGAACAAATGGAAAGAGAGACTACTAAATAACAGAATATATATTCATTAAGGTCACATGCGGTACATGCAACAAGGGTGACTCAGCAGCACAACTGTCAACAACCTGGAATATAATTCTGAATACACAAAAATGAATAAACAAAGAAAATGAACTATGTATATATGAGTACAAATCATAAATGTGTGAATTAAAAAAAAAACAATTCCAACAATTGGGGTGATGATCACGGGCAGTAATCTTGCTCGATATATTACCAATAAAAAAACCTATCATTGTGTGTGTAAACTACTGAAATATAATTAATTATACGTTACTTGATTTATTCCACAATTTTAATCAGTCATTTAGAAGACAAATTTCGCGAGATGATGTCATTTCGTAGTTTCTTTACAATCGCTTTACAACTAACATGGTTAACAATAATAAAATAAAAGAAAGGGCATGACAATTACTCAGTTAAATAAAAAACACAAAAGTGCATACTAATGACCAATCATATTTAGATAGGTCAAGTAGTCCAGGGTAGGCGAAGATTGAAGTCTATTGATTTTTCTACACACAGTTTAGGCTGTGTGTGATTAATCCAAAGTGCTTCCATCACCTTCAATAACCTTGAATCAGAGTTATGTCATGAAATGATTGTGAAACAGTCATTAATATCGATTTTGTGACTTGACATTAATAAGTGTTTTGCAATGGATGATGGTGGATTTCTATTCAGATTACTCGCATTGGGATTTTCTATATGATTTTGTAAACATTTTGGAACATGTTCTTTTCCACCGCGACATTGGAACATTCTATTGGTTCTACCTATATATGTGTCACCGCAGCTGCAGGTGAACTTGTGGATACAGTTTGAAGTAGAGTCCACAGAATTTCGTCCTTTAATCGTACGACCGAAAATGTTCGGCAAGTGAGAAAAAGAGATGCGGTGTAGAATGTGTGTTTGATAGCTGACCGAAGTCTTTGAGCTAGCTGTCAACTGCATAATCTGGTCGCCCTTGAATGGTAGGTTAATGAAGATAGCTTTCTTTGGTACAGTAGCTGTCTTTTCGAGATATGGTCTATCCTTACTGTGACAACTGAAAAAGTTTTCTGGATAACCATTAGCTGATAAAACTGAATGTGTATGTCGAAGCTCATCCATCAATATGTGACTCGTGCATATTTTTCGGGCCCTTGAGAACAAACAATTCACTAGGTAACGTTTATACTGGATAGGAACAAAACTGAGTAATTGTCATGATCTTTATTTTATTATTGTTAACCATGTTAGTTGTAAAGCGGTTGTAAAGAAACTACGAAATGACGATATCATCTCGCGAAATTTGTCTTCTTAATGCTTTATTCAAATTAATTGAATACATTTAGTATATACAGAGCTGTGAATATCAGAAATTCAACTGGAAGATAATTTATAATATATACACATCTGACATGGAATGTATACACTTACTCACTCACTTACCAATAGACAACGGAGAGTTCAAAAGCAGAGCAAACTAAACAATTTATGTATTTCAATTGTACAAACTCCGATTCTAAATGGAAATTGAAGGGAAAAAAATGATTATTGAGGATTTAAAGGGTATATGGAAATTTATATAGGATTACTTGAAGTCATTAGACTTTGAAACAAAATAAATTCAAGAAATTGTAAATAACTGAAAATTTTGACAAACAAAAGAACGAACATATGTACTGACTGACTGGTTTCATTGTAGAACTTTGCACAGATATGCAGTAGTTTGAGTTGCTACTCTCCCTCCATGTAGCACACAAAGTAAGAGAAGAGAGTAAAGAGAGATTCAAAAAAGAGAGATAATAAACGGAAGTGTGAGTGCGGGAAAAAGAACACTAATATGGAAGAACAATGCAGTTTTACTGGATATTCCAAGTCACAAGGAGTGGATGCATCTATGCCAGCCATTGAGAACGATAACTTTGAACCATATCACTGATTGTCTCCAGTCTTCGTTGGTTCCTACCGTTCCAAGGATCGTAACCAAGAACTCTACACCTTCCAACTTGGCTTAACTAACTGTTGTGGATTTCATCGGCTGATGCCATGTTCTGGTTTGACCACCACTACCCCTAGCTCTTTTGCAACCTCATCAACCTTCTGTCAGCTAACATTACCTGTCAAGGAAGGAGATGGCTGGGAATGCGTACCATGGTCCGGGGTTCGATCCCCTGCCGGCGCACACCCGATATCTATGGTCGGCCTGAATTTGGGCTACCGATATCCATGCTGAAAATTCCACACTTGTACTGAAAATACGGTGTGGAATTAAGCTGTAAATCAAAATTAAAAAAAAAATAATAAATAACTATCTCAACCAGTGTAACCTCAAAACTTCATCGATCGACTTCCACTCCTTACCTAGCACTCGACTGAGGCCTAACCTCAATATATTGCTCAATCTATTATACCACCTAACACTGGGAACAAAAGGGAGACATCTATAATCAAAGACATCTAGCCAGCCTTCTCATGTTTTCCACTTTCAGTGACCATGTCTCAATTACAGGCATGAAGAAGGACGGCGTGAACTGCTACTGAGCATTACACACAACCTTTGATCGAGAGCCAGCTGGATATCACGTCTACTAAACTAGAGATGTAGTAAGTTGGCGTATGCCACACGAGCCTTCTGTATCCGTGCTGAGATTTCGTCAGTGATCAACCCACTGGCACTGGTGATGCAACTCCACAAATAAGTGAAGTGGTCAACACGCTCCATCAACCACTTCACTCCTTATATTTAAGCTAGGAGTAGTCGATGTACTCCAGTCCTGTAGCCCCAACATCTTACATTTGACGGAAGCGAATCGCATGCCAGACATTCGAAGATTGCTTCCTGATCAAAGTGTTCAGAAGACTCTACTGTATTTTGTCAGCGTTTTCACGTAAGATGGAGGACTGACTATATCATCTGTATATTCTACATCAACGAGATTATTCCCTGATGGTAACAAGTCAATCCCTGAGTCTCTGAAGTCAGTTATGATTAAGTCCATTATCACGATATCTACGGTGAAATTAAGCAGAAATGGAGACAGTGGGCACCCCTGACAGATACCACTGTTTGTCACCACTTCACATAACAACTCCCGGTAAGCTCTCACCTAGCTGCATGAGTTAAAGCAGAGTGCGATGTGTTTTCTCAACAGGATAATTTAACCTCGTTTTATTTCGCAGATTCTTCTCATAACATAACAAGAAGAAATAATAGGACAACTGAAAAATCCGTCTATAGTTAAGAAACTTGGACTGAGGCTCTTTATCAGAGCTGGGATGTTACGTTCAGAAAATAAGATTGAAGAGGAACTCGCAATTATTGGAAAAAAACCTTATCGAAAGTTCTTCATATTAAAATATAGAAGTGACAAAGATACCTCGATTGAAACTCGAAACAGTTGAAAAGAAACCAGTTTTTTTATTTGTATAGCGTACAAAGGGGAAAAGTATCCACAAAAAAAGGGAAAACAGAATCAAAGGTGTATTGAAGAGAACATTTCAGACAGCCACACTTATTCCACTTTACCACACGATATGCTTGTTAACTCAGTTAAGAGTAGAAAGGTGTCCTGTTCATGTCAACTCCAAATGCATTTATCAATCCACTAGTACTTGCGGCAGCGGAATATATACATATGAAGGCTGTAGGCTTTGAAACTGACTTCTACACTTGGTTTGAAAATTTTTAAAGGATATCCGTTTTCAGAAAGGCTATCCATTTATATTTTTATCATTCTATTTAACATCAGTGGCGAAAATACGCTGAATCGTCTTGAATAAGCAGTTTAGCAAGCACCCCCTGCCCCCCTGAAAATGCAAACATCGACGTGTTCAAGTAAACTTCGCATAAATTGACCACTTTACAGAGCTATTCTCTCTCCGACTCAAAAGTATGTGTAGGAATACAAGTTGGTTGAAACTTTCTTTCTCACAAATATGTGATTTTGTACAACATTGAGTCTATATACTTACTTCGGCTATCTCCTACGGGAGGATGAGCCGGCTTCATGAACATCTCGAATCACGCTGCCCAGGCGCGGCGATCTGATGCAAGGTTTTGCGACAGGGTTATCCAATTCTTGTTCCACAGACGGAGTCCGTAGACGGTTTGTAGCCCCAGGCACTCCATATCAGCCTTGACTGTACCAAGCCATGTTTTCAGCTGTCCACCCCTGCGACATCATTTGCGAGAGAGTTCATGAAGTTTCATGGGAATTTAGTACGAGTGATGTCCCCAGAATCGCTCGGCCTTTTGTTTGAGAGTGCAGCTCTAGCCTTTACACAACCAAGTGTGACCTACAAGGCAGTAGGAGTGGAGTAGGGAGTCCACTATCCATTGGCAGCCGGTGACCGGAGTTCGGTTCATACGCCTTTTTGAATGGGGCCAGACATCCAGGACATCCAACAAGCCCTTTGTCCATACGTCTGCCGGTGAGCTCCAGTGAGCTTCATACGCCAGTCGTTGGAGGTTTGGAATCAGGGTTTAGCCATCTCCCCTAGACTGTCATCCAATGGACAGTCAACCCGGTGAAGAGCGCCGGACATCAGCTTTCGCCCTCTCACTTTGGTGGAAAACACCTCCGCCACGTGAAGGCAGTGAGTAGGACTTCCTCAGGAGAGGCTATGTAAGACGCCCGGTCATATGGGAGCATTTGAAGAGGTGTGAGGAGGGGTGGCCAACCCGCAGCGCAAGGCACCCACCCCCGACAATCCTGAGTCTATATCCAGCAAACGAATCTCATTTTTATAATTACAATTACATATCACAATAATAATAATAATAATAATAATAATAATAATAATAATAGAGAATTACTTTTATCCCCATTAGTAGCTGTATCTTTTGAATTGACATTACGTGTACTGAAGTGTTGAAAGACTTTAATACTTGTGATTGGTGATTCATGCGAAAAGTGGAAATGTTGTACAACTCCTAGATGATTTGAATAAGCAGCAAAAATAAAATTTATTATTTAATCAGAATGATTCAAGAGACAGAGACAAAAAACTCTAATATATATACAAAAACTACTAGGACTATATTATTAATATTGTTTCCTTTAATTCCTAGAGGAACATAGGGCTTCAGCCGCACGTCTCCATTGAGTTCGGTTCTCTGCTAGAATCTTCACCTGGCTCCAAGTCTGCCCACATGCTTTCATCTCCTCTTCACATCACCTCCTCCAAGTCACCCTTGCACTGACGACCAACTCGCCGCTTCCCTTTCGGGTTCCACTCGAGCAATGGCTTGTCTAGTGATTTCACTTGCTGGTTTCCTCAGAGTGTGGCCAATCCATCTCCATTTCTTCCTGCCTATTTGTTGCACAATCGGTTCCTGGTTGGTTCGCTCCCAGAGATCCATCCCTGTTGCTGATCTTTTCTGGCCATCTGATCTTGAGTACTGAGCGAAGACAACTGTTAATGAAGGTCTGTAGTTTGTTTGAGATGCTCTTTATGACGCGCAGTGCAAGTCTCTGATCCATCCGTATAGTAGCACTGACTTCACATTGGAGTTGAAAATCCGGATCTTATTTTTGATGCTGAGTGCTGTTGACCTCCACACAGACTTGAGAGTAGTGAAAGCTTGTCTTGCTTTGATATCCTCGTCAGTTCCGCCTGTAGTTGAAACGACGCTTCCCAGGTAGGTAAAAGAGGTTGTTTCTTTCAGGTTCCTCCCATTTATGCTGATTGTTGTTGTTGTTGCTGTTGGTGGTGTTGCCCAGGAATCTTCATTACCTCTGTTTTCTCTATGTTCACCTGAAGTCCTATCTTTGATGCTTCTATCGCCAACTTGTTGCTTTTCACTTGCATATCTTCCAGTTTGCGGGAAATTAGACATATATCAACGGCGAAGTCCAGACTAGGACAATACGCGACTGGTATATACACGCAAAGCAATAAGTACACCTAATTATAAGTCTGACAGTTGGGCAGACGCCGAGGAGGCCGTTGAATAACACCGTACTCAGTGCAAGCTATCGCTAGAGTGGGACCCAAGTGGAAAACGACGAGTTGAGCGTGGTTCCAAGGCTGACATGGAGGAGACCGTGCAAGGAGGAGATCAGAGATTATGGGAAATCGTGTGGCTAGCCGGTTAAAAAGGACCGCAGAAAGTAGAACAAAGTGGAGACGTGCTGTTGCAGGTCTATGTTCCACTCGGGACCCAAACGAACAATAATAAATCGGTCTAACACGTATGGATATGTGTATAGGCCGCTTGACTTGAGTCCTAGAGATGTTGAGTACCAATGATTGAAAGGTGTTGGTGAAATAGTTCAAAATAGTTCTCAATGGCACAGATGCCATTCATCCTTCGTGATCTCATACACACACACACACACAATTAGTCCCCATTTAACTACTTTGCATATATTCCCACTTATATTATAGTCCATTCGCATTCATTTTTTCTTATCGTATGCGTGTTTTATGAAGAAGTGTGACGACTTGAACTGCTACACTACTGAACTGTGCAAGGTTCTGCGTTAAAAAGAAATTCAGTTCACTTTCCTTATAGGTTTGAACAACATTGTATATTGACCTCAGATGAACAAGGGGAAAAACGTGTCAGACAGTCTATTTTCATCACTAACTGGTTGAAAAAAACCCTAAAGATTGATTGTTTAGAATCTCTTCAGTTGAAAGTTGTTGAACACTTTGACACAGATAAAACTAGAGACGACTTTATCATCTCAATCAACAACAATTATGATCTCGAAAAAAGCAACTACATCAACAAGCTCAAAGAACACAACCATGAAAAAATCATCCACCTGAGCTAAAAATCTTCTTCCATTATTACTACCACTACATCAATCTTATTGCTTCGTATTTCCTAGTTGGAGTACCACATAGGTATTACTGCTAAGGACACACACTATTAAATGGTTGGAGGCAATCGGCCACAAGAAGCCTTGATCGGCCTAGGTTACGTGATGCTAGTTGGTACTCGTCAGTGGGTTCCAATCTCACAAGGGACATGAGTTCCTTCAAGATTGGTGACTGGTGACTGCCAACTAGCACGAGACGTAGGTCAGATGGGGCTTCCTGTGGCCAAGTGCCTCCAGCCATCTAATAACATCAAATCAATGTAAACCATGATGGCGAGCTACCCAGAATGATGGCCACATTGCAAACATAACTGACAATAGAATTCAGTCTGCAGCAAACAAAGGACTAGACACATTACACTAGTTACTAGTGTCTAATCAAAGAAGGATAGATACTGTTAACATCCAAGGAACTGTACTGCTTTATCGAAATGTATTGGGAAAAAAATAGTGGAGAGTTTTATTTTTTTATGATTGTCAACTTTTCTCCGTGAACCATGTCGGAATGAAAAGAGTTAAACTATAACGAGAGAAGACAACAGACTTGGTAACGGACACATCATACTTATGCATTTCTAATCACATTTAAATGTCAGTTAGATCAATAGACACCAAACTATTCTGATTGGTTGTCGATTTTCCGAAGGCTAAACCTTGAGACGAAAAGTTGCCCAATGAAGTTATTTCATGTCCACAGCATAAACTAAACCCAGATTTGACGAATAAACACATCCATCTCTCCGCAGCTAGCCACTGAATTAAAATGTAGACTTCAGGTTTGTCCGCCTTCTATCAATCTGCACCACGCTAAACCTACTACACCCTTTGAAGCTATTTGGAAGTTTTTTCCTGTCGACAGATTCTTGGTGAACCGAAGTATTTGGTTTCTGTTGACAACATATCACCTCTTACTACAGACATTTCGAAGAAGATCAAGCAATTCAGGAAATTCGAAATAACTTCAAAGAACAAGGATCATCAATGCCCAATGCACGATAGATAGGTCCAGTGGATAACAATGCGCGCTAGCTTTCAGTCTAAGTGGGACATTATCATTCACTGGGGATGCAAGTGCATTAAACCGATAAGTCCCACTGCTAGCGATAACCAGCCAAACAACTATTTCAGTAATGAAGGTATCAAAGAAATAATAAATTAATATTAATATGGTCAATCAAATGATATATATAATGTACTACATACTACGAGTTTTCATATCCACAGCAAATACACCAAACCATCCATCCTGTGAACCAAAAGCAGATAGTCGTAAATTATCCATGATTTTAAAATCCATGTTGAGAAAACTAGACATAAAAATAAGGCAAAATAAAAACAAAATACATAGATGACAAAATAAAAACCAACAAATTCATTGATAAGGTGAACGTGTATATAAAGTAAAGTTGAGTAAGAACGACATAGGGTAAAAGTGCTTTGAAGTCCATTGTGAGTAAAATTTATTTTGATAAAGTCTCACAATGTTTGATGATGACCACACTAATGCAAGGCACTGGTTGATGGTAGCGCTATGTTATAAAGTGACAAAGTTAGAATTCATGTATTGGTTTGCAGGAAATTGATTAGTTTCAGGATTTCATCATGAACTGACATCAGTTAGAGGACCATTGGAAAGCCTACAGGCAGTAGTGGACAGCTGTTTTGTCTTAGTGTGTGACTTTTCGGCAGTGGGGTTCGAACCCAGGACCTACTGGTTACAAGGCGAGCGAGTTAGTAGACCACTGAGTCACTGGGACCCAACCCAATGACCCATGAAATTTCATTGAGTTCTAACCTCAGTGCGTATGTACTGTTGAAGAGTCCCAAACTGGGACGAAACAGTTATCCAGGACTCCCTGCAGGTTTTCCAACGGTCCTCTAACCGATGTCAGTTCATGATGAAGTCCTGAAAGTTAGAATTCACGGCTAGCTGAATTCCAACCCAAGTGGTTGAATGACCAATGAGGTTGGTGTCATGACCTGAAGGTCCCGAACTAGGCGGACATAACAGTTGTTTAGTGCTCCCTGATTTTCAATTATCGCTAACCAATTTTCATCAATGATGAAATCTAACAGCTGATATATTATTTTCCTGATCTATCTTAACACCAAATACGTAATTTTGTCTTACCTCTTTCTTCTTTGATTGTCTGTTTCTTAATTGCATTATTTTCTACCCCCACCCTCTATTAAATCCCTACCCTCATGACGACTGTTGCTAACTCCATATTCGTTTATTTTTAAGTGAATTCTACTCAGATTATTAACTTGACTCTCATTCATTTTTCATTGAACCCTATCAATTAGATTACGTCACCCAACCTACTTTTGTAACTTTATTTTAGTTTCTAACCGATTAACACCTTCTAAATTACGTAATTTGTTATCGAAAATTAACAATTGCATTAACACATCTTTGGAAATATTCGTTTTGTTGCCAAGAAAAATTACTATAAATTTGCGGTTTGTACAGCTTGAGAATGATATCGCCGAAAAGAGTAACTCTTTGCTGAACACCTTTTCTTTTCTATGACTGAATGGGAATTTTCAAATTGTTTAATTGGATTTATTGGGTCCTCAGGCGGAAAACGTTAGTCTCTGAGTGACATGGTCGATTTAAATGCCACCCTAATGTGTAATTACACTATACCATAATGCCAAAATTCTACGGTTACATTCAAAATTAATTATTCTGTGTAAATATATGTTGTGGTTCAGACTGACAGCTGTCTTCGCTCAATACTCAAGATCAGATGGCCAGAAAAGATCAACAACAAGAATCTCTGACAATGAGCGAACCAACCAGTAACCGATTGTGCAACAAATAAGTAGAAAGAAACGGAGATGGATTGGCCATACTCTGAGAAAACCATCAAGTGACATCACAAGACACGCTACCGAGTGGAACCCAAACGGGAAGCGGTGAGTTAGTTGTCAGTTTAAGGGTGACACGGAGGAGGTCATGTGAGGAGGAGATGAAAGCATGTGGGCAAACATGGAACCAGGTGAAAATGTTGGCAGAGAACTGAACGCAATGGAGACATGCGGCTGAAGCGATCAAAATTGAAATCCACAATCTAAATCAATGGTTGCAGAGTTAGAATTGTTAGTTCTTTAAATATGAACTTCATTGGACAACTTGTTTAACCTTGGACCAGTTTTCAACCAATCAGAGCAATTTATTATCGGCTGACCCAGACGAACTTTAATGTGGCTAAGAACGTATAAATATGTATTTTTCCTATAATGAAAGTCTGTTACCAACCACGTCTTTCGTCTTCAACCGCTACAAATATCGATTACACAATGCACAAACTCTTCACTAGATCATAAAATCAAACCAAATGAAACTTACATCGATGTAGACGGTAAATTAGCCAATTCTGGGAAAAGTAGTGAAGCTGTAGAAAAAGATAATTCCCCATAAGTTGCACTGGAGTGACTTGTCTGCGAGTGATTTAATCCTAACTTGTCTATCTCTTCATCATGTTCAGCTTCTTCAAGAATATTCTACAAGGAAAAAACATATACATATGCGGTCTCATTCAACTGAGTAATATGTGACAGATTCTATCATATTTATTTAGTCACACTCGGTGTGTCAGGACTTATGATTCTGTCAGATTGTTAAGTTTGAAGTAAGAGGGTTAAGGTTTGAAACTTAGGACTTATGGACTGAAGGTTTTGGTGGGAAATTCCTCCCTCAGGAATGTCAACGAAATATCCGTCTATAAGCACTGGACATTCTGTAAGCATCAGCTTTAGTCATGCTTTCAATATATGTCATATCTCAATCTATACCGACACCTTTATTACCAACGTCAATGTTGACAACACTTTAGCTCCTGTAGTGTCTATAAACTTCTGTTCATTTGAGCATATTGTGTGTATCAAAATATCCACTACAGTCCTACAGGAGGTCAATCGCGAGCCTGAATAGCTCAGTGGTAACGTCTATGTCTGAGGCACTAGGTGACGCGGGTTCGAATCTCAGAAGGGACATGAGTACCTTCAAGGTTGCAGATACGCCTTGCTGATGAGTGCCAACTAGCACGAAACCTAGATCCAAGGATTCCTGCCGATTGCCTCCAACCATATAATATATTGTGTATCCATTTGGCGGTAAATAAGAAATAATCATTAATTTTGGAAGATACGAAACAGTCAACAGTCGTCGAATGTATCCTTTCTTTGTAGATCAGATGGACGTTGAAGTGTTGGTTTGCAGGGATATTAGACTGGTTAAATGATTTCATAATGAGTTGACATTGGTTAGAGAACCATTGGAAAACACACCAGGGAGTACTGGAGAGCTGTTTTGCCCTACTGCTTAGGACTCTAACGGTCTGTCTGTCTATTTTCAACATAGAACTTTGCACCGATGTGCAGCAGTTCAAGTCGCCACACTCCATGTAGCACAGACGTTAGGACTCTCGCCGACCATGCACATGGTCCGGGGTTCGATCCCCTGCCGACGCACACCCGATATCAATGGTCGGTCAGCAAAATTGGGCTACCGATGTCACATGCTGAAGATTCCATACTTGTACCGAAAATACGGTGTGGAATCAAGCTATAATAAAAAAAATTTAAAAAATAAAATAGAAGAAATGTAAAATAGAGACAGTAGACATGGGACAATATAGTTTAATTGGGTATTATAAGGAGTGGATGCATCTACGCCAGCCATTGAGAACGATTTTAAGCCATATCACCAATTGTCTCCAGCCTTCATTGATTTTCACCGTCCCGAGAACCACAACCAGTCAGGAAGTCCACACCTTCCAACGTAGATTGAACTAACCTTTGTGGATTTTATTGACTGATGAGGTGATGTTTTGGTTTGACCACCACTACCACTAGCTCTTTTCCAACCTAACCCTATGTCAGCTATCATTGCCCGTCGAGGACTCAAACAATATGCACCCATAACCTTTCGGCATTGTCTCCACTTTGTAATCCCCTTGAAATCGTGAAAATCTGAACTCTGTGTTCTTTTATATTTTCAAACATGTTTTCTATATTTACCGCAGTATACAGACATCGTTTATTCTGATTGAATTTCACAAGAGTTGGTGGAACAGAGGAGTGTTAAACCGTTTGGCCTTCGCTTTAATCGAACAAAAAAAGTTGACCAACCCAAGAAGAAAATAATATCAAACAGGTAGCTTCTCTTACCTATTTGGGCAGCAACTACAGACGACAGCACAGACGAGGTCGGTGAAAGGCAACCGCGATCGAAAAAGTAAGACAGACATTCATCAGTCTGAAATCAACACGGAAACCGGCTGCAATCAGCATATAAATGACAAGCTTTGAAGCTTCTTGATATGCTTCAGAGACATAACCAAAAGTATTTCCAACAGACTGCGGCAGACTTCCATCAACAGCTGCTTTCGCTGCATGGTTAGAAAGGATTAGCAACTAGGTTCTCTGGCAGCGAAACAAGCAAAAACATCCCAGCAAAAAAAACATGCTGAACGAAGTAGAGACTGTAAAGTGACATCGCACGCCAGGCGATTGTCCAAGCCGAACCCAAATGGGGAACCACGAGGTGGGTATATGTCCGATGGTGACATACACGTGAGATCACGTAAAATGGTGGAAATGAAAGGTCATGAGCAATCAGGAGAGGGGGCAGCCAAACAGGACTAAGGAGGAGAGGATGTAATGGAGGTGTGTGTGTAGGTGCTGTTGAAGTTTTATGTTCAACTGAGAACCCAAGCAAATAATAATACAAAATAGATTCTCAGAAATAATCCTGCTGGGAATCAGCTTTCCGGCTTCATTAAACATCACGCTTTACAAGCTGTCTGTTCACAGCTCACGCATGCAAGTAGTTTCGTCAACAACAGAAAGTGGCTACTTCCAATAATTTGTAAATCACAGTGTAGATGACGACGAACAGGCGATTAATCAAACGACTACAAGAAAGAAAGTCAAGCACTAAAACATCCCAATCGTGAACCATCACAATACTTTTCGTTGTGTATAAATAATCAAAATTTCAGGTGTATGTACATCTTAAATACAAAAAGAGAGGCACTTACTACTTAGCATTTAAACATTAGACTACATTTATTTCTATTAAAATACCTATGAGGCTGTGAAGTTACACCGATTGAGATGGTCAGGACATGTGTTACGTATGCCCAGCCATCGCCTTCCTCGACCGACGGGCAATGTTAGCTGACATACGATCAGGTTGGAAAAGGACTAGACTACATTGACAACTAGCTTAGATATTGGGAGTGAAGTGGTAGAGCACAGTGACCGCTTCATTTATTTGGGAAGTTGCATCAGCCGACCCCAGTGGGCTGATCACTGAAGAAATCTCAGCACGGATTCAGAAGGCTCGTTTGGCATACGTCAGTTTACGACGTCTCTTAAGTAGACGTGATATTCGGCTGGCTATCGACTGAACGGCGTGTGTACTGCTCAGCAGTCCGCTCCGTCCTCCTTTATGGCTGTGAGACCTGGCCGTTGAGAGTGGAGAACATGAAACGCCTGGCTAGCTATCTTCGATCATAGGTATTTGCGTTCTATCTCCCGTGTGAAGTGGTATAGTAGGGTAAACAATACTGAGGTTAGGCCTCAATCGAGTGCTAGGTAAGGAGGGGAAATCAATCGACGACGCTGTGAAACTGCATTGACTGAGATGGTTAGGACATGTGTTACACATGCACACCTGGTGATCGCCTTCCTCGACCGATGACGGGCAATGTTAGCTGACATAGGGTTAGACTGGAAAAGAGCTAGTGGTGGTCAAACCAAAACATCACCTCATCAGTCAATGAAATCCACAACTGTTAGTTTAAGCCAGTCACGTAGGAAGGTGTAGACTTCTTGGCTGGTTACGGTCCTCGGGACAGTAAAAATCTATGGCTGGAGGTAATTGGTGCTATGGCTCAAGGTTATCGTTCTCAATGGCTGGCGCAAATGCATCCACTCCTTGTGACTTATAATACCCAATAAAACTTTATTGTTCTTCGTTGTTACCATTCTTTTTGCCTCAAATCTCTGTTTACTGTCTCTATTATGCATTTCTTCTACTTTCTTCTCTTGCTTTGTGTGCTACGTGAAGGGAGTGTGGCGACTTGAACTGCTGCACATCGGTGCAAAGTTCTATGTCGAAAACAGACAGACAGACATGAAAGTTGTATTATGCGCAGAGTTTGTTATCTGTTATCACCATGGTAAAATAAATAAAAAGCTTACAGTATCAAATAATTTGGAGAATATCTTGATGCGCGGTTGAGTTTTGCTTTCACCTACAAAATAGTATATAATAAAAAGAAGAAAAGAGAAATCGTTAAATTTAAAATGAAATGGCTAGTCTGATACAAGTCTGCTACTACTACTACTACTGTAACAACAGAAGACAAGGGTCAGGCAATAAACGAATCGTTTATTGAAAAAAACGAGATATTTATAGATTTTTATGTACATTATTAATCGTTATTATTAGCAGAAAAACAGTATCTGATAAATAAACATTGACGAGGTGAACAGATGTAATTTAGCTTTTATTTATTATGAAAGTGGTTATTGCAACAGTAAGAAACATTTTCAATAGTTGGTTTTTAAGGATTACATTTGTTTTGACGAGTTGCTCACGGATTGCTATCAGTTAGAGATCCATTGAAAACTGATGCTCGCTACAGGATGGAGTTTCCTGGAGTTCTAGTAAGATGCCGTGACCAGTGAAGTCCATCGAGTCAAGTGTGAGGATTGATGTCCCACCGATGGAATTGGTTGGTGGCCAGGCTAAATCCCGAATTGGTAGAAGTTAGAAATTCATGTGCTGGCCATTGAATTGGGTCCTAGTGGCTGAATGGTCTACGAGCTTGCCTTGTAACCGGAAGGTCCTGGGTTTGAACCCCAGTGGGTGCGCACTGATTATTATTATTTATTATTATTGTATCCTTTAATTCCTACAGGAACATAGGGCTTCAGCCGTGCGTCTCCATTGCGTTCTGTTCTCTGCCAGAGTCTTCACCTGGCTCCATGTCTACCCACACGTTTTCATCTCCTCTTCACATCACCTCCTCCAAGCCACCCTTGCACTGATGACCAACTCGCTGCTTACCCTTCAAGTTTCACTCAAGGGCTTGTCTAGTGATGTCACTTGATGGTTTCTTCAGAGTATGGCCGGCCAATCCATTTCTTCCTGCCTATTTATTGCGCAATCGGTTCCTGGTTGGTTCGCTCCCAGAGATCCATCCCTGTTGCTGATCTTCTCTGGCCCTCTGATCTTGAGTACTGAGCGAAGACAACTGTTAATGAAGGTTTGTAGTTTGTTTGAGATGCTCTTTATGACGCGCAGTGCAAGTCTCTGATCCATCCGTATAGTAGCACTGACTTCACATTGGAGTTGAAAATCCGGATCTTATTTTTGATGCTGAGTGTTGTTGACCTACACACAGACTTGAGAGTAGCGAAGGCTTGTCTTGCTTTCCCGATTCTTGCTTTGATATCCTCGTCAGTTCCGCTTGTAGTTGAAACGATGCTCCCCAGGTAGGTAAAAGAGGTTGTTTCTTTCAGGTTCCTCCCATTTTTGCTGATTGTTGTCTGTTGTTCTTGTTGTTGCTGTTGGTGGTGTTGCCCAGGAATCATCACCTCTGTTTTCTCTATGTTCACCTGAAGTCCTATCTTCGATGCTGCTTCTATCGCCAACTTGTTGCTTTTCACTTGCATATCTTCCAGTTTGTGGGAAATCAGACATATATCATCGGCGAAGTCCAGATCCTCCAAGTTTTTTGTGTGAGTTCACTTTATGCCTGTTTCCTCATTTCCCGCTGTTTGTCGCATTATCCAGTCTACCGCAATCAGGAAAATCATTGGCGATAGTAGGCAGCCTAATGATGACTCCCAAACTAGGATGAAGCAGCTGTCCAGTACTCCCTGGTGGCTTTCAACGGTTCTCAAACCAATATCAATCTGTGATCAACTCGTTAAAAGTATAAAAAAATGGTGAAGCATATGACACCAGCACACCACAGCGGAAGCAACAGATTATGTTTGTCAAAATATCAGAAAGTTTTTGGTAGTATTTTTATAGTGAACCCGCATATTACAAAAAAGCAAAACCTTATGTAACACTGATGAGTTGCTTCGTTGCCAATTCCAGTGTTACTTATTCCATATGGTTAAAAAGAAGTGTGAATACAAAGAGGTGGTTAGAAAGTATGAAGAGTTTATCGATGAAACAGCTATAGATAAGGCTGATAGTAAGTTAGACTAGTATGCTTTCAAAATTCGCAGTTTGATCAGTTATAGAATCGAATGATATATATATATATTTGTGAAGACAACAAAGACTTACTCTGATTCGAAGTTTCAGTGAATGGTTCACCAAAAGACAAGAAGAATGCCCATTGAAGTTCATCTTTAATTAAGCAGCTAAAAAGACAGAAAGAGGAAAGAAAGATACTCTTAGCGAAGCTATAAATATATTACGTTGTTAAACTATTTTGAAAAATACGTAATTCAACAATACAGTTCAGTCTTAAAGTATCAGTTTATCCTTAACTTCAAATAAAGCCTTACGTGACCTATCATGAGATTCTACTTCTCATCGAATACAGTCCACAGTCTCATGGATAATAACAAACAAGCCTCAGGATGGTCAGGGGTGGGTGCCTTGCGCTGCGGGTTGGCCACCCCTCCGCACACCTCTTCAAATGCTCCCATATGACCGGGCGTCTTACATAGCCTCTCCTCAGGAAGTCCTACTCACTGCCTTCACGTGGCGGAGGTGTTTTTCACCAAAGTGAGAGGGCGAAAGCGGATGCCCGGCGCTCTTCACCGGGTTGACTGTCCATTGGATGACAGTCTAGGGGAAATGGCTAAACCCTGATTCCAAACCTCCAACGGTTGGCGTATGAAGCTCACTGGAGCTCACCGGCAGACGTATGGACCAAGGGCTTGTTGGATGTCCTGGATGTCTGGCCCCATTCAAAAAGGCGTATGAACCGAACTCCGGTCACCGGCTGCCAATGGATAGTGGACTCCCTACTCCACTCCTACTGCCTTGTAGGTCACACTTGGTTGTGTAAAGGCTAGAGCTGCACTCTCAAACAAAAGGCCGAGCGATTCTGGGGACATCACTCGTACCAAATTCCCATGAAACTTCATGAACTCTCTTAAGACCATTGGTGCCTCAGGTACATTCTGCATGTTCATTGGCAGGACAAACTCTCCAACGAAGAAGTGCGTCGTCGTTGCTACAACATCAACCAAATTCCAGTACTGGTCCAACAACGTCGCCTTCGGTGGTTTGGCCATGTTCTGCGCCGACCAGATGACGATCTGGTCAAATCAGTTCTAAATCCCTCGCCATTACCATTTTGGAAATGTCGCAGGGGTGGACAGCTGAAAACATGGCTTGGTACAGTCAAGGCTGATTTGGAGTGCCTGGGGCTACAAACCGTCTACGGACTCCGTCTGTGGAACAAGAATTGGATAACCCTGTCGCAAAACCTTGCATCAGATCGCCGCGCCTGGGCAGCGATGATTCGAGATGTTCATGAAGCCGGCTCATCCTCCCGTAGGAGATAGCCGAAGTAAAGTAAGTAAGTATTGTAGTGTTTGTACTCATCAGCCAATGACAGATTCATTTAATACACTATAATGGTCGCTCATTGGTTATATTCCCCTGTGAGACATGGCTAGTGAAACACAGGGACCTACCCAAGCAGGCTAGTAGTCACTGACCACAGGTATTGGCATTCTATCTCCAATCTTAGCCAGTATAATATGGTGAGTAATATTGACGTCAGGCGTAGAATTTTCGGTAAGAAAGGGAATCCAATCAGTGAGGTTGTGAGACTACATGGATTGAGATGGTTGGAACGCGTGTTACCCATACCAAGCAATGTTAGGTGACATAGGATTACTTTCATTATGGATAAAATTTATTTTGATACAGTCACACAGTGTTATACAGTAATATTTACTGATTTGAGTACCTTGATATGATAATGAGCAGTAATAAATTGTGCTCAAAATTTGGTCATCAGTAAATATTACTGTATAACAGCACTGTGTGACTTTATCAAAATAAAGTTTATCCATAATGGAGTTATACTCCACCACAGTGGCCAAGTTTTATCTTTATCAATAAGACATAGGATTAGGTTAGAAAAATAGGCCAAAGTTCAAAAATAGCGTCCCAAGGGATGTGAATGAACGGCTGACCTTCAACCAACCAATCATACAAATCATACAAAGGACCCCAACCAGGAAGTCTACACCTTCCTACGTGTCTTATACTAACTGTCGTGGATTTCATTGACTGGTGTAGCCATGTTGTGATTTGACCACCGCTAGCTCTTTTCCAGCCTGACCCTATATCAGCTAACATTGCCCGTCAAGAAAGGCGATGACTAGGCATAGGTAACACATGTCTTAATCATCTCAGTCGATGTAGCTTGACAACCTCGTCGATTGATTTCCCCTCCTTACTTAGCACTCGATTGAGGCCTAACCTCGATATTGCTCACCTTATTATACCACTTCACAAGGGAGATAGAACGCAGGCACCTATGGTCGAAGACAGCTAGCCAGGTTTTTTATGTCTCACACTCTCAATGGCCAGGCCTCACAGTCACAAAGGAGGACGGAGCGGACTGCCGACCGATAGCTGCTATCTTGACATGGTGGTTGGGCTTGCACATCGCGATGACCCAACAAGCTGCACTGGCTGGAACCAATGTTCCTGCAGGTCCTACCATGCCAGGAAGGTTGTTGGGATAGCGATTAGACTAAAAGCAGTTGCCAACATAGCACAGTGGTTAGGACTCCCGCCGACCATGCACATGGTCCGGGGTTCGATAACCTGCCGACGCACACCCGATATCTATGGTCGGCATGTAAAATTTGGGCTACCGATATCCATGCTGAAAATTCCATACATCTACTAAAAGTACAGTGTGGAATCAAGCTGTAACCAAAAATATAAAAAAATAAAAATAAGAATCTTTCTTACACTATGCTTGGGATCTGTGGGCGAAATCGTACTTCTGGGGAACAGGGGTGTAACGGCACTTAGGTGTTTCCCTCAGATGACGTGCATGTCAGCCAGCTATGCTGTCTCTTCACTCTGCTGGAGAGAGGGGGTTAAAATAGGTCGACCCTAAAAATTGTACATCCCGACTTACCCTATGGTTGTTCGTAACCGGAGATAAGTTTACTAATATGTAACCAATCCCAACCAGTGTGTGACCGGTCAGCAATCAAGCAGTTGTCCACTGGTGTCTGCGGTTACTCAGCACTAACCCCTCTCTGTTTCAGGTACCCGAAGAATCAAGCAACTTCCATGGTGTGGGGCAGCCGGGAAGTAACAACCATCCACACACCTCGAAAAGCACACGAAGTCTTCCTGAGCGCTCATTGATAAGTCTCAAATAATAAGGTAAAACAGTTAATGAAAGTTAAGAAAGCAGGATAAAATGAATTTATAAATCTTAGTAGAGTTTCTCATGTTAATTTGCTATTAACTCCCCCATTTCAACTCATTGTTTTATGAATATTATACTTTTTTTAGTTACTAAAATTTGATGTTGTTAACCAAAGTTATTTGAAGACTTACTGAGCATGAACCAGGTGAAGAGGAACACAAGGCAGCTTTGAATAACTCAAGCAATTCTCTATATATATAAAAGAAAAGAAAACCTCACATAAATTGATCACTGTGTAAAAAAAACATACCAGGGAGCTTTTCTTCAGATCTTGACCTGTATATATTAAGATATCCATTCTCTCCTTCCTTGTATTATTATCAAATCAAATACACTTTGTGTGTTTTTACCTTTACAAAGCCAACAGCAACAAAATATTCGTCAGTTATTTCATCGTGTAGGGCATTGATACAGACTATGTCCGAGGCACCTTGATAATTTGAACATCATTTAATATAGACACGTGAAAACAAAAAGAAAAAATACCTGGTAAGTAGGCGAAATCAATCGTTTTTGTCTGCGGTTGAATAATACCATCTTCTATATCAAAGTGGTGTATAGTGAAACAATATTTGCTGGCTAGTGGATCACTGACTAAGCTGAAATAAAACAAACAAAAAAACACACAAAAAGATGAATATAGACGACCTTACCTGGACGAAGAAATGCTACCAATAGGCCGTAGGTTTTTTGCTTATTTTTCTCATGTTTTATGCTGCCAGACTGCATATAGGTTAGGTTGTAAATATTTGACTGAGCCAATGAAGGGAAATGGCATAATTCCACGTATGTCTGTAGACCCAATGAATTCATTATTGCAGGTATTCCACAGGGAATTTTACAAGGAATGGTGATTGACTACTGGATCTTTCTTCCTAAAATAAAAAACATATTTGTTATATGAAAATCAAATAAACCATATGTTATTGTTGTTATTATTATTGTTTCCTTTAATTACTAGAGGAACACAGGGAGAGGCTCAGCCGCACGTCTCTCCATTGTGTTCCATTATCCGCTAAACGCTTTCACTTGGATCCACGTCTGCCCACATACTTTTATCTACTCTCTTTGCATCACCTCCTCCATTGTCACCCTCGCATTGACGACCAACTCACCGCTTCCTATTCGGGTTCCACTCGAGAGCGATGGCCTGGCGTGTGATATCACTCACCTGATGGTTTGTTTTCTCAGAGTATGGCCAATCAATCCACCTCCATTTCTTCCAACATATCTCTTGCACAATTGGTTCCTGTTGGGTTGGTTCGCTCCCAGCGATCCTTGTTGCTGATCTTTTCCGGCCATCTGATCTTGAGTAGTATTAAGCAAAGACAGCTGTTGATAAAGGTCTGTAGTTTGTTCGAAGTGTCCTTCGTGACGCAGCGCGGTACCAAGTCTCTGATACGTAGCATTGACTTCACAATGGAGTTGAAAATCTGGATCTTATTTTTTATGCTGAGGAGTGCTGTTGATCTCCACACAGACTTGAGAGTAATGAAAGCTTGCCTTGCTTTCTCGACTTTTGCTTTGATATCCTCGTCAGTTCCACTACCTGTTGTTGAAACGATGCTTCCCATGTAGTTAGGTAGGTAAAGGAGGTTGCTTCTTTCAGATTTCTCCCAATTGTGCTGATTGTTGTCTGTAGTTGTTGTTATTGCTGTAGCTGTTGGCCAAGAATCTTCATCACCTACATCTGTTTCCTCTATGTTCACCTGAAGGAAGTTGTTTGGTAGAGTGTTGCGAGGTCTCCTTTGCCTGCACTGCAGCTTGTTCTGCTTTACACTTGTCACAGCTTCATATAATACCGTCTTTTGTCTTCCTTAGCACTTTTCTTTACTCTTTTGTTCAGCGTTGTTGTAGCTTGCATTCAACTCCTGTTTTTTTTTTGTTGCTCGTCGATGCACTCGTCGACAACCATGTTAATCAACTAAATTTACTGTTTGACTATATAAGTGAACTCAGATTGTAAATCTGACAGAAAGTAGATATTTGTGAAGATATTTGCCACCGACCGAAATTATGCACTAATTTTACTATAGAGTTGGATTAAATTCAAAGCAACAAGCAATTTGTAAGTACTGGTTTTTTGTTGAGTGCCAATAACCATCAACGGGAGGGATTTGAAAGAGGTCACTTCTTTCACTTATCTAGGGAGCATTGTCTCAACTACAGGAGGAACGGACGAGGATGTCAAATCGAGAATCGGGAAGGCGAGAAACACATTCATTCACCCACCTGAAACCAATCTGGAAATCTTCGTCACTCAGCCTGCATTGACAACAAAATTCGGCTTTTCAATACAAACGTCAAGTCAGTTCTTCTATACGGATCAGAAACTTGGCCAGTGTGTCACAAAGAATATTTCCAACAGCCTGTTGCACACCTTTATCAACAACTATCTTCGCTGGCTCTACACTGAAGATCAGATGGCCGGAAAGAATCACCAACAAGAAACTATGGGAACAAACAAAACAAGAACCAATGGCTCAACAAATATGCAGGAGAAAGTGGAGATGGATTGGACACTCGCTTAGGAGGCCCCTGGGTGATATCGAGTGTTAGGCCATAGCTCGAGTGGGATTTCCAAGAGTGACATTGAGGAAATCGTGTGAAGAGGAGTTGAAACAGTACGGACTAACATGGATGCAAGTGAAAAGTACAGCAGAAGACAGAAGCAAGTGGAGATGTGCAGTTGAAGCCCTATGTTCCACTAGGAACCCAAGGGAACAATAATATTAATAATAGTTTTTTGTTCGAATTTCTCTCTGAATTGACACACAATTCATATGATGATATTCAGGCCAACCGAAACCAATATTCTATGATGTTTTACACACCAAGGTGACTGTCCACCAGTACAAGATCTACGACAGTTAATTAGATCTACAGGTGGTATTACAACTTCTGTCCAGGACTTGTTAAATGAATTCATCAGGTATGATCAAGCGTCTGAATACGATGTGTGAATAATGGATTAACTAGAGTTACTATATAAAACATGCATATGTCTGGGGGGCGGGGCAGCCTCACAAGATAACTGGGATTTTGGTATTGATTAAGAAACAATAATCAATATAATAATACGCACGAATCTCAAAACAAGATACTCTATAGTAAACTTTTTAACCATGTTGTGACTTTTACTCCTCCTCCTTAATTCTAATTAGTTGCTCAAGGACTGTGGTAAGTTTAACACTTCACTATTATGTCATTTTCTATTAGAACTCAGTTACTCAGAACAAATATCTCACACATCATGCACACAAACTTCAATACCCAATCTTAGAAACAAGTAAATTTCTTTTAAAGTTTATTAACAGATAACACTCTGAATGACACACACACACGTTCGAATAGCATTTAAATGCGTTAATTTTTATTGACGAATTCATTAACAGTTGACATTTCCACCGACGTAACAGTTCAACTCAGGTCTGGGTAGAAATTTCAAACCATCAACTTCCAGCGTGCCATCCCCTAAGAAAATAAGCCTTAGGACGCCAGCTAGATTCAGATGAAACGGATTGTACGCTCTTGTCGCCTGCGCAAATCCTTAAAATAAAATATATCTCCGAAAAGATCTACCTTTCTATTGAAAACGTTCACCGATAGAAGTTGCTTGAGGTATCATTATTTCTTGAAATCATTTTTGCGAGCGCGCGGTGAGTTTCCATAACAGTTTGTTGCTTCATTTCATTTATTGTGTGAGGGCTGAGATACTGCCCGGACGCCCAGACCGAAGCAGGTGGTTTTCTTAAGGGAACAGCCCCCGAGCCTTTGACTTGGAGTCTAATCCGCAAGGCAGCGGAGCAGCGTCAGGAGCTGCGTTCCCATGACTGTCGAGGAAGCTTGGGTGGGATTTAGGAATACACTAGACTGTGTCACTTCACCGTTTGTATCTTGGTACACTCCTCGAAAGCTATCGCATAAGCCACCTTGGGTTACTAGTGAAATAAGGAGGCTATTAAGACGAAGGACCAATTTATCATGACAGGGAGGGAAAATTTCCAGAAGGACTATCGCGAAATTCGAAATCTCTGTAAGTATATGATTGACAAGAGTCGTATAGAGTACGACAGACAGCTAGTAGTGGATTGTGTTTATTACCCAAAAAGGCTGTACTCATATATTAAACGTAGGACTAAAACTAGCAGTAGTATACTGTCACTCATAAGCATTAGTGGAGAAGCGGCTGAGTCAAACGAAGGAAAGGCTGGAAACCTCTCCGAATACAACTGTGACGTCTGGGATATGGCGAGGTTACTGCCATCGCCACTAAGATGCCTTCAATTGTGGTAGAGCACAGAATAGTCCTCAAACTGCTGTCTAAACTGGAGCCAGGTGAATCACCTGGGCCCGATGGACTTCACCCTGAACTGTTAATTTCCTTGGTGGATATAATATATATTCCACTTACGGAGATTTTCCGAATGTCTCTGACCCAGGCTAATCTACCCAAGGACTGGAAGGATGCCATTATAAAGCTTATCTTCAAAGAGGGGAACAGGCAATTGGTTGGTATCTAGCTACCGGCCGGTAAGTCTGACGTGCATTATAGCAAAGGTATTGAAAATAATTATAAGGGATCCGCTATTGGCTCGCTGGCGGTGAGACAGCATGGATTCCGACCGGGACGATCCTGCCTGACAAACCACCTACTATTGACTAGAGAAGACTGGGTTGAGATCAGAGATACAAACCTTCTGATGGACGTGGTTTTAATCGATCTTAGTAAGGCATTCGATAAAGCATCCTATTTAGAGGTCACCTTAGTAAACTTAAAGGTTTCGGACTAGACCAATGCCTATATGAGTGGTTTAGGGATTACCTAATGCATAAAAGGCAGGTGTACTGTCAGGGTGGAAAGCAGTATGCAGTGGAGTGACTCAGGGAACTATTAGGCCCCTTGCTATTCCTATTATACGTTAATGAACTACCGGGGATTCTTACTTCATCTTCATTATTATTTGCAGACGACATTAAGATCTGGAAAACTGTAAATAATAACGATGATATGTTGGCCCTACAAAGTGATCTAGATGAATTAGCTGAGTGGTCGAACATGTGGAGTTTGGAAATTAATTCTAGGAAAAGTGCGGTAACGCGCTTAGGTCAGAAGTCTTATACGTCGTACTCCCTAGGGGACACAGAACTACCTGATGTTAACGGACAGAAGGACCTAGGAATCATTGTCAGCAGTGGTTTGAAAGCAACTGCGAGTTGCAATGCAGCCGCAGCTAAGGCTTTTCGAATGCTATGGGCACTCCGAAGAGCTTTCAAACGATTAGATGAGTCTATGTTCAAAGTACTCTACGCAACATATGTCAGACTTCATCCAGAATACTGCATACAAGCGGCTAGTCCATGCTTCAATGAGGAAGAAGATATCATAGAAAGAGTACAAAGGGTAGGAACCAAATTGGTTAGTGGTATCTCACACCTGCCTTATGACAAAAGGATGGAGCATTTAAATCTCTTCCCGTTATCATACCGAAAGGAGAGAGGCGACCCAATTTTAGCATACCGTATACTTAAGGGTGATTTAGGAGCTGACCTTTCTAACCTTTTCTCCCCTTTTAGGATACATTTACGGGTCACTGGGAAAAGTGTTCAAACCGAGGATGATTAAAATTCGTGCAGAATTTAGATTCTCTCACAGATTGGTCAACGACTGGAACTCCTTACCTGATTCAGTAGTAGCAGATCGATCGATGAATAGGGGGAAGAAGCTACTATTCTTAGCATTTAAATGTTAATCCGGAGAGTAAAACGTGCCACTCTGCTTTTTCAAAGCGCGCGCGTCATACCTATGCATGTTGGTGCACCAACATGCATAGGTGACATAGCCATGGCTATGTCACTTTCAGTGTGATTGAGGAACTTGGGAACTAAAGGCTCAGACATGGAACAGCAGAAAAATTAATTAATTTCAGTAATAATATAACCAAAACGACTTCACTGTAAATCTCCGCACCATTAGTCACTGTGAAACTGACTATAGCGTCTTTCGGCATTCAGATTGCAGAAAATTTAAACCACGCAGAAGAGAGAAGTCCTTCGGAACAGGTGCACATAAACAAAAAATCTTAAATAAACAACTTACACAACGAAATGAAATGACACATTTGTAATACACAAGGGCGACAGCCACAACCAACGAAGGAAGAAGAAGAGTGCGTAAGAGAGGTGTTTGTTTCAACCAAGTGGAAAAGAACACCATAGGCAATAATATATATATATATATATATATATCAGACACGCTGGGATAAGACGTGAAAAGCAGAACACAGACTCGGGTCGAAACACTTTGTAATTACCAACCCACCTAGTGGGAGAAGCCAAGGTTATATATAACAAACAGCTAGACTATAACTGTTCAGCGACCACCGGGTTAAGAACTGATGCCTCCTTTTGAATTTGACCCACTACATAACCCCCCGCTGCCAAAAATCTGTTCTCAGCGACTTTCGTCTTGCGTTCTCCCCGCAAGAGAAAGAGACACATTGTTATTGTGACTATCAATATAAGGCGGAGTTTTCCTCGGTGCCTGTCTGCTTGGTCGGAACCGTTTCAGACGGTTGAAGTGCACTATCATTCTCTGAGCGTTGTTGTTGTCTTCTTGGATTTCGTAGGTATTGTTTGTCTGAGGTACGCCACATATGGACCTTCCCACTGTACCTGAGCTTTATTTCGACTCAAGCTGTCAGTCCCTGGATGACTCAACTACATCTTATCACCTACATTGAGTGGTGTTCCCCACTGCTTCTTATCATAGTAATGTTTATGTCGTTCTTGTGCTCTCTGAAGTTCCTCGCGTGCATAACTATGGTATCTGACTATGTCTCCTCACAACCTTATTACCATTTTTGATGTAGTCAGCGTATCACCCCACCGGGGCTTAACCAATGTATCGCTAGGCAGGCGTAACTCGCGGCCAGTCCATAACAGGTATGGTGCCTTCCCCATCGAAATGTGCGCGCTTCCTCTGTAGGCCAGCAAGCACCTTGTCTTTTTTTTATTTACAGCTTGATTTCCACACCGTATTTTCAGTACAAGTGTGGAACTTTCAGCAGGGATATCGGTTAACATGATGTCCCAGGCTAATTCAGCTTCTCCCTCTAAAAATAGTCGTAGTGATGATTTCAAGGTTCGATTGGTACGCTCTACTAACCCATTACCTTTGGGATGGTATGCTGTGTTTCTTGACTTCTTAATTCCAAATAGATGACATGGTTCTCTAACCAAGAGACTTTCGAAGTTGGTTCCTTGATCAGAATGTAACGATAATATATTTGTTCCTATTTGGGTAACTGCTCTGGTGCGCCCAAACGGGCAATCCAACAATCGAATATACCTTTGGCTACCATAGAGGCAACAATTCGCTAAAGAGGTACAGCTTCACACCGTTTCCTAAAATAATCGACCACGACCAAGATGTATTGGTTCACACACGTGGTCTCATGTAATGGTCCGAAGATACCTACGCCGATGACTTTGTTGGTATATCCAGCATTCATATTAGTAAGTGGCGTTCTAGGTTTCTTCTGTGGGTTCTTTACCTTGCCACATGTTGCACACCCTTCCACAAAGTCTGGGACGTCGCGCCGTTGACAAGGACACCAATAACATTGGGCGACTGCTTGCAGCATCTTATTAATCCCGGCGTGTCCCAAGTCATAATGTACCTTCTCCAGAATTTCTGTTACGAACGACTGAGGGACTACGACTCTTCACAAGTATGCGGGGCCAGGTTGAACCCACAGGATACCATTAACGAGCACTAGTTGGTCCCACAAGGCCCACAAACATCCCCTCTCCTAACTTTTCCCTTTTACATCAGCTTCGACTGGTCTACCAGTCTGATTGGACGGAGCATGATATAGGAGTGCAGTCTCGTCGTCTGTTGCCTGGATATGTGCACACCTTTTTCTACTTAGGCCTGCTAACGAAATAGCCGAAATATCAGTGCTCTCACAGGACGGGCAGTCTCCTTGAGGTCTTAAAGAACGTCTGGACAACGCATCAGCATTGGCATGCCGTTTGCCAGGACGGTGTACACATTCAAAGTCATATTCCTGTAGGTATTCCTGCCATCTATCGATCTGTCCTTCAGGGTCCTTGAAGTTTTGCAGCCGCTGAAGAGCTTTGTTATCTGTTCGCAGTACAAACGGTTTACCAAGTAAATGGGGTCGATATCTGCGAATGAAGGTAACAGTGGCCGACATTTCTTCCTGGTGATGCAGTAGTTCCTTTCTGCACGGCTCAGTGCGCAGCTGCCATATTCGATAACGTGCTCCTTGTCGTCTCCACCGAACTGGGATGGTACGGCTCCAGTGGGTGTGTGGCTAGTGTCCGTGTCCAAGATCTATTTACCGGTTGTTGATGATGTATCCATAAATGCTAAAGTAGGCGCTGAGCACAACGAATCTTTCAGCAGCTGAAAAGCACAGTCACAATCCTCTGTCCATACGGAGGGAATATTTTTCTAGTCAACCTTGTTAGAGGGCTAGCGATTTCTGAGTAGTTTCTCATGAACCGGCGGTAATGAGAGGCTAACTCTAGGGAACTGTGTGATTCATTCGTGGACTGGGGTACGGGCCACTCATTGACTGCTGCAACCTTTTCGGGATCGCTATGAGCGCCCTGTGCGCTGACGACGTGCCCCAGGAAAGTGACTTCTTTTCTGAATAGACGGCATTTAGTGGGATGGACCTTGAGTCCCACCTCCTTCAAACGTCGCAAGACAATCCGCAGTCTCTCGAGGTGTTCTTCGATGGTGTGACTGAACACAATGTTATCGTCTAGATATACCAGGCACACCTGTGGGACTTATCCTATAAGTACCGTATACATCATCCGTTGAAGCGTTGCTGGTGCATTATTTAACCCGAAAGGCATGGTCAGGAATTCATACAACCCGGTGGATATAGTAAAAGCAGTATTGTGCCTGTCGCGAGGGTGCACTTCTACCTGCCAATATCCAGACACTAAATCAAGGGTTGAAAACCAGGCGGCACCTGATAATGCTTCTAACGTCCCGTCTATTCTCGGAAAAGGGTAAGCATCTTTCCAAGTCACTGCGTTTAATTTCCGGTAATCAACGCACAAGCGGTGAGAGCCGTTTTTCTTATTAACGAGCACTATGGGAGAAGCCCACAGTGAGTTTGATGGTGCAGTTATCTTTTTCTGCAGCATTTCATCAGTCATGCTTTCCTGCTTCGGGCGGAACTTAGCTGGGACTCGACAAGGTGTTTGTCTTAATGGAGAGCAATTACCAGCTTCACTAGTGTGTTGGATAGCCGTCGTTCTCGCCGGGTCAGTCAGGGACCACGAAATCTCTGAAATTAACCGATGTGCAGCATCTTTTTGTTCTCTAACATACTTTCCATCAAGGCAGTACCAACTGTATTCACACTCAACTGTCAATACGTAGGACCACTGCCTTATCCGAATAGTAATGTGGAACCTAATAGGTGATCATTGGGTTATGTGCCTCACAGGAACTATTAATATTAGCTGAACAAAAATGATTCTTACGCTTTCTCAGTAATGGATGTGATTTTGCTGAATTTCCAGGGCCATTCATATTCTCAGTTCTGCAATTCGGTTTCATATGTCCTTTTTTAGGACAAGCAAGCAGTACATAGTTGTTTCTGTTTCGCGAATTCAAATCTTTCCAAAAGGGAGGTTTTAAGAGATTATCACATTAATGTGGTGGATGTGAATTACCACAGTTAATACGTAGTTCTAGTCTTGTGGTGCTCCGTAAGCCTTTCTCCACAAATTACTTCCTCTTAGTCGGGAATCTGTTAGCTTCAGTATTGAGGTGTAAGGTCCTAGCCAACTTGCTGATTGTTTGGCTTAAATTATCTTCTACGAGCTTCAAAATATCAAATTTATGCTCAAAGGCCTCTTTCTTCAAGCGGATACTAATCTTAACCCACTTTCTCTTTAGTCGAGTAGGTAGACGTCTGGCGATTATCTCAGTAACAGAAGTTGAATTCAAACCATTCATGCAATTAAGAGATATCAATGTATTTTTATAGGTCATCACGTTATCCAAAAATAGAGTGAGACCCTTGAAATCATTCCTTAACTGCAGAGCGTTACTTTTGACAATGTGGAAACACTCTCTTAGAAATTATGTGTGGCTTTCCGAACCTCTGGCGCAATAGTCTTTTTAGAGGCTGTCGGTATTGACGTTCGCGAATTGTATGAATTATACTAACGTAAGATATAATACCAACAGCTTCTATAGTATTCGTTCCTCGTGTACCAAAAGACAGTATTGAGTTGTCCAAACTACGAGATATATTTCGGGACTAAATCGGAGACCGACTGAATGCTTAGCTAGCTAGTGATCATGCACGAAGGTGCCACGACGGAGAATCAAATGGCATGGGTGCTTGACCGGAAGCGTTCAGCTAAACAAGTTGACTTAAACAGTGAGGGTCAGCATCCAATGTTCAGTGATGATTGCTGTGGTCAATAATTTTGGGGAATTATTTACCGCTACATCTTCTTTCTTCCGTATAACCCTCCTTGGAAGGCAAGAACTTGCAGCACTGTATCCCAATAGCAGTAACACGAATACGATGTCTCAATAAATAAATCAACCTTATTTCATCATTTATTCTGTATTGGTCGACGCAACTTCAATCTCCTTCACGAAGTGAGGGTAGTCTGGTTGATTCTCATCGAATGACTGTGGCTCAAATTTAGGCTAATAAAAGCCTGCTCATTCCTGAGTCGACTGGTTCCTCAACAAACAATTTCCATCACGCCTATCAAACATGGCCTCAGGCGTATTATCAATAACAGGAACCACTTCATTGTCAACATTTACCATAGTGTTCGCCACCTTAGCCCAGGCATCATAGAGCGTCACTAAAATGAGAACCAGGTTTATACCTAGAGATGAACCCATGACGACCCCGTAAATTTGTAGGTAGAAATGGTTATTGAATCTAAATTGGACGTCTTTTGTGCAAAAAATTATTAGGCGCTTCATCTCTGTCTTTGATAATGGCAATAGATCTGTTTGTTT